GTCGAATCTGAATCACTTGAAAAAAAACACGGGGGTGCTTAACTTTTTTCCAGGTGTATATTAATAATCTGTATACTAATCTTATTTAAAAGAAGTTTCACACTTACATTGTGGTGGTGTTGTATGATTAAATTATCTACAAAATCTGGTTTCTACATTTGATACTGAGGTAAGTATTTTCCTCTTCTGAACCACAGGTATGATGTTGATTGCATATGATGATGAGTATGGACCACAGTTATATAAAGCAGATCCAGCAGGTTATTTCTGTGGTTATCGTGCAACAAGTGTGGGAGTTAAACAAACGGAAGCAAATAGTTACTTGGAAAAGAAACTCAAGAAGAAAATAGATTATACTCATGATGAAGCTATTCAGGTACGTACATTGAAATGTGCTATTATTTATATTAAGGTTGTTGCAAGTCATCATTATTTATTAATCCATAAAGTGATATTCAGTTGCCTGAAGATTTTCAATGGCATTTTATGCTCTTATGAAATTATTAAATAACACAGGCCTGCAATGGTTTTATTGTCTTGAAATTGTTACATGTTCTACAATAATTCCTGTACGCTGAATCCAAAAATTATATCCATTTTTCTCCATCACTGTCAGATTTTTCACAAAACATCATGTGTACTTTTACATAATGAATCATTTTCATTAAAATCAGGTCACATTTTGTTATGCTTAAAATGTTGACAACCACTTTGATGTGAGAGTCTTATTCTTATTTATCGTTCTATAACCCAAACATAATATTAAAAAATGTTCATTGTGGTAAACAAAATAATAATTTGATCTAAGTAATAGTTTTTTTCTTCCCGACTTGTAAAAAATCCTTATGTGATAGAAAAAAAATTAATATTATTTTCGAAATCTACGTAGCTGAATTATGGAAAATCTGTTATTAAAACCAAAACAACTTTTATGAAGTTGAAATTCCCAGGCCTGTGTAATTTATGAAGTAATTACTGAATACTTGAGTTTTTATAGAAGCAACTAGTGATTTATTATAGAGGTAAAATGGGATTTTACACTGTTAATTCTGTAGGAAGTATTGTCTGTTTAAAAACATGGTGACCCCCAGCAATTTCTTTAAGTTTGTGAGCAGTCTCACATAACATTTTTGGTAGCTGTCAGTCTATTAAACCCACTTTTCTTAAACTTTGATTTTTTAAGGCTTCTCTTTCATTTCTTCTTTTTGAATTTTCTGACTGAATCTTATCGGGAGTTGATGACTGTGACTTTGCTTCAAAAAATTTATTCAAGAAAACTTGAGTGATCAAGCTGCCATTTAGTGACATCTAGGAAGAATGTGATTGTTGTCAACAAATATTGGTGATAGAACTGCCAGAAATTGCCAAATGTACAAAACATCATGCAGGTGAAAGTTTCCAACAAAGCGAGAATAAGAACAGGAGTTAACCCTATCACTACGGGTCATGTATCAAAGGGCATGTCATCACGTTTTTGACTTCCATTCAAAATTTTATTTAACTTCTATTTTATGAATCTATGTCAATAAGTTTGGTATAAAATTGTAGATTATAGTTGAAATTTTAGTATTATTCATTAGTTAATTTAAAAGTAAATATTAAAAAACACAGATAAACATAGATTTTTGTGTGTCACGTGATATGTTGAATGCAGCACTGGTTCAGGTTAGTTGTTTGTGATGTCAAAATACAAAATCTGCAGTTTTGTACAAATTAGGAACTCAAACTACCGATATTGACAAACTAGAATATAAAATAAGAATATCTTTTCTATTTGCTAAGGTAAGTCTTTAGTGAGCTCAATATTTCATATTTTTTTAGACACAGATACAGCTTAG